GAAGCCAAGATATCCAAGAGCAGACGGAGACGGCGTCGATGTACCACTCCGAGTCGGGGGAGTCGGGCGCTGTATTCGAGGCCCTTTGATCCTGGGCTCCGAGACTGTGTAAACACACGTTTCCTTTCTCTTCCTGCACCGCGAACAGGTGGGCTGACCGTGATCGCACGCAACTTTACGTGCTCGGCACGGATCGCAAGCCTGCGGGCGCCCATTAAGTCGACGAAGCAAAGGCGTATCATATTCCATGGCGCCATCCATCTTAGGTAAAAAGGACAGAGAAGATAGGTCTCAAAGACTTCCTCTACAATCGAAGGGTACCAGGCATCACCAGCAACAGATGCCCCAGCGGATCGGACCGACAAACAAACCGTAGCGCACGTCCTCTTGCGCTGCCGTCAACATCACCAACTCCGGGGCCAGGAACTAGGACGACTCCAAGGACGAAACAATCTCCGGAAGTTATTGAACGAGCGCAAAGCAGCCGCCAAGGCAATCAAGTTCATCGAACTGACTCAGATCCTTGGGCAATTTCAGGATCGAGACCTGAATAGACAAAGCTGAGCACTGGAGGAAGACTATAGGTACACAGTCGCGAAACAGAGGGACTCACAGCCCGAGAGAGCCTAGAATCACGGATGCGTTAGTAGGGAACCGCTGTTCACATGGGCCCGCCAAGCAAATGTAAATAGTGGTTAGAGAGAAAAGCGGGAATTTTGGGGACAGCTGGTCAACGCCGTTGTGATGTTGGCGAAGTGGGGCATCCGGATCAATGCTGATCCGCGGGGGTTCGGCTGTTCGCCGGACCCTGCTAACCGGGCATAGTCGCTTAGATGACTACAACCGCGTAGGGCACAATCTGATAAATCAAAATGGGTTGATTGTGTTGTTGTTAGTTCTAAGTTACATGTATCCGAGAGGAGCACAGCTCCTTACATAGTATCCACATCCCAGCCACTAGCAGATCGGACCACCTTAGTCACACGGTCTCAACAAGGCCATCATCTCTTCTTTGGTCCATTTTCTAGAGCCTATTGGCGTCTCACAGCACTTGGTCGTTTAGTTTCGATACGCCGAGTTATCAGATACCATTACGGTCGCAAATGGAGGGCTATGCAGCGGATACCAC